ACTAAATCTATTGAGTAATAATATTACATACAAATTATTATGATTATGATGATGATAAACATACTTGCAAGTTACTTGTTAAAACTCTTGGCTTGTGTTCAACCTGGCGTATACTTGATTTTATAAAAATCATAAGAACAGAGGAGGAGAGAATAAACACAAACACTGACAGCTTATGAAAAGTCAAAAGATCATGACAAGAGGAGGAGAGCTTTTAAATTAACAAATATATTTTGTATTTTTGATTATTATTCCAAATCTTACATAGATAAGAACACAAACATGTAAGAGCAACAAACAAAATCTAGTTTAAATTATGACTCTTTTTTGTGTAATTTTAATAATAACAGGTTGGGTTTTGAAGTTTGATTCTAGTCAGTTTTGTAAGTATTAAAGAGTTTATATATATGTGATGTGTTTGTTAATGTATGTGTATCCGTGTAATTGTGGCCTTAAAGCCGATAACCATAAGAATGACGGACAGAGTCTACAGCTGCTGCAAGCGAATGGATTTTTTTGTATTTATTGCCAAAGTTGTAGTCCTTCAAAACAAATCTACAATTGATAGTTGTTTCTGAAAACATATTCAAGATTTGTCTCAACTGCTCTACAAAAAAGATTTGAAGGTAAAACAAAATCAAACCAAAAAAAAAACACTAAACGAAATTTGTTTAAATAAAATAAATCTAAGAAATATAAACAAGACAAATTTAAGCAAAAGAAAAAAAACCTAAGTGGAAATAACAATTGTCATGATGATGTTTAACTTCCGGTTATAAAATCATTTATTATTTGGCAGTTAAATTGTTTAGAGTTTCAAATCAGTTGTAATTAACAAATAATTATTTAAAATTTTTTTTATTGATATAGTGTTTTTTTATGATTTTAATTGTTTAATTTATTTGTAACTAATTATTGTATTTAGCCAGTTTTTTTTAAAAAAAGGTTAACTTCATTTAGTTTTTATTTTGTGCTTTTATTATTCTTCATAATTAAATCTATTTTTGTTTGTTAAGTTGTTCTGTAAGGTTTTTCGTTTCATGTTTTTTCCTTTTATTTAATTAAAAGTGGTTCTTAAATATTTCGAAATTTATTTGTCTAGTTTTTTTTTTTTCTTTAGTTAAAATTTTTATTTTATAATTTCTGTTCAAACTTCCAGTTTGGCCACAAATTTTGTGTGTTTTTTTGTCACAAACATAATTGTGTTTAAAATGTATTTCTTTTTTTTAAAGATTATTTAAATCTTTAATAAACCGGAATTAAAACTAGTTGATGTTTAGAATTAATGCATTGGTTGATTGGTTTTTAATTATTATAATAACAGTTTCGTTAATTGTGTGACTCCTTTTCTTTTGAAAAGCAATTTATTAAAAATTGACAAAAAAAAAACTTTTAAAATCGTTAACTGAGGGATTAAGTACTATGTTGATTTAGACTAGTTTTTTAGCAGTTATTATTACTGAAATGCTTATAGTTCTCCTTTGATTTACTTTTTTATTTTGGCTAAAATCCTAAATTCTTACATATCGAAAAATTTATGAGTGTATATTCAAATGTTGGCATTTTACTCGGTATTTGTTAATTTATCCACTTTTTCTGGAAACTCTCCCATTAAAGATTGTATATGTAGTGCCAAAGCAGCATCCTGATTGAATGAAAATCTAGCTAATATTTTTTTTAACACATCATGGTAAAGGCTATGATGTGTTCAAAAAAAAGCAATCAGATAGATTTTCATCCAATCAGGGTGCTGCGTGTGTGTGCATAGAAATCAAAAAGTACCAGTCATAGAATGAAAAAGTACCAAAAATCCTTTCCTACAGTACCCCTTAATGAAAAAAGTACCAAAAAGTCCCCTGTTTTTACTTACTAGGTTCAATATTAAAGAAAATTCAAAAAGTACCTTTTAAAGAATAAAAAAATTCCATACAGTCCAATTTTATAGGTTCCAAAAGTACCTTTCGAAGATGAAGAAAAAAGTACCAAAAGTTCCCTTTTGTATGTGTTCCATTTATTCCGGGCTCTACACTTAATATCATGTTTCTAGCCAATAACAACGCACAGTTTTATACGTATCGCGTTGTTCTTGCTCTGCTTGGATCTCAATTTTTGATAAACATTTTCTGTAGTTGTCTCGGATTTTAAATAGCATGTCTGACAGAATTATTGCAGATTTGGGTCCCGATAATAGCTGAGGTCCTCAGAAATTAATTTCAACAGACAGAGGCAAACAGACATACAGACGGACATTGCTAAATCGACTCCGCTATTTATAAGGATTCGGATATATATATACTTTATAGGGTCGGAAAATTATATTATAAAAATTACAAACGGAATGGCAAACTTATATATAGCCTTCTCAAATCCTTTCCCTGGACATTTTTCCTTGAAAAAGACCCAATCTTGGTGTATTGCAATACCAGGGTAAAGAGGTGCTACCAGCACCTCTAGTCTGCCGGGACTATAAACTGGTGATGTCATTAAACTCATCGGTCTTTCCATGAATTATTAGACATGGGATCAAACCAGAGAACCACATAATCTGGTACTACGGGTGGCCAGTTACCCGCAGGACTTCTCCTGGCTGGTCAGTTAGTTGAGGTTCCATCGGAATACACGTAGTGGCTGTGGTTTAAACCCAAGTTCGCGGGTTAAAAGACTAATGCACGATGAAATCTATAATTCGGGATAAGTTCGGTGCTGCTGCCGAATGAGAACAAATACCCCACAGAGAAGTGACTGTGGGACTAAGCTTTGGAAATGAGTTGGTGTTAAATGTGTATGATTCAGGATAAATGTAGGGGTATACGAATCTCATCCGCCCGTACACCTAAAGTGAGTCTGTTGTATGTTGTTCTTTTATAAGTGTGGCGGATGAATAAGAAGTGTGCAGGGTTGAATTGTGATGGATGAAAGGTATCTTATACGAGTGATATCATTAAATTTTCCTTCCTTGTCCAGGTATATTCAGGGAAAACTCTGTTTATACCAGATTTACCACAGTGTGCTCTCTGTAAGAACAAAGTTCTCGGCTTATTTGATGGATTCGTGTTTCGGACTACCGAATACGTCTCTTGGTGCTGTTGCCGACTCAACAGAGGCCATCTCATCTGCGTGGTTGTAAACGAAAGTGATGTTTGTGCTTCTCGGAAGTTAAGCAACGGGCCAGATATTAGATAGCTCTAGTACTTGAGCAAAGTACTTGTACATACATGGACCGGCAGAACCATGTACAAAAATTGCCACCCATGTGAAAGATACACAAAAGATACAAAAAACCGCCGTGCAATAGGCCAACACGTCACGAAGGTTAAGGGTCTAATTAACAGTTCAATATAGAGCTTCTAAAAGTGCGCAAGAAATGTCCGATTCCCACTTGAGACACTGCTAACTAACTACCTAACTAACTAATTAAAACTTTTAAGTTTAATTTCCTATTGAAAGCAATAGAAATTGCTTTCGAACCGATTATTATAGAGAATTGACACAGTGTTTAGTACAGTGTTAACATATATTTACTTAGAAGAATTTAAAAAAAAATATGTTATCAAAAACTTCATTACACAAGTTTATGTCTTAAGTCTTTTGTTTTGTTTATTTGCCTCTATAAAAAGTTTGTGTCTTAAATCTTCTGCTGTCAACATAACATAATAAAATACATGCATGTGTCTTAAGTCTTTTGTTTTTCTTTTCTTTGGCAAAACAAATTCTTTACAAAATGTGTTTATTTAACTTCTTTTGGCATCAAAATAACTTTAGCTGTAAAAATTGTAAAAACGCGTATTAAGTCAGTAATTAATAATAAAGAATATGCATGTGGGATGAGTTTACAAAAAAATTTTGTTTAACGACTACTTTTGCAATCATCTTTTTTACTTTTGTGTGTTACTAAGTAAACTATAAAAATATTGAAATTATGTAAAAAATATCTAAATAGATTTTTTTTTGTTATTAATAAGAAAGCAAACCACAACAAATGTTTCAAATTAAAGGCAATGAGTTGTATATAACAAATATGTATGTATATGATTTGGTGTAAAGGAAAAACCTATTGCCAAAAGTAACAATGAAAATCCATGGAAAAAAAGGCGGAAAATGTTGTAGTTGGAATTTTTCCTAAGCAACCGTTAGACATTATTTAGACAACTTAGCAACAGGTCTTTTAAGCTGCAATTTGGGGGATTATATTTTCTTGAAAGTTATTGTTGCTGGTGACTTTACATTACTTAATACAATATGACGACTAAGATGTTGATGTTGATGATAATGATGATTTGGTTGCTGCTGCTACTGTTATTGTGTGGTTAGTTTAGTGAGGGTAATACAAATCAAGTTTTTTTTTTTTTGTTTGTTTTTGTAATCTTTTTTGAATTTTGGCTATCAAAATATTAAACAAAAATCCAGTTTATATTATGGGTGAGTTGGTTGGTTAGAGTGTTGTTTTTGTTGTGTGTATGTTTTATAGTATTTTGCGTAAAAACGGTGTCAGCAGTGTCAGTTAAACCAGAGTTGAGACTTGTGCTGTGGTTGCTTTTTTCTGTGTTCGTGTGTTAAGTGCTATTAATACTTCTTGTTTTTGTGGCTTGTGTGTGTTTGAGTGAATACCTTCAATAGTTTTGAGTGTAAGTGTTTTACTTTCAATTTCATTTTGAGTAAATTTTCAAAGCTTTGTAACAACAACACAAAAGAGTAAAGCTTAGCTAATAACACTCTGAGCTAGCTAGAGAGCTGTAGTTAAAAATTAACATGTGTATTGTGTTAAAGCCTCCTTTTTATTACACTTACCCTCTACAAATAAAAACAATAAAAAAAAAACAATGTAAAAATGTACTACTTTTTTTCGTGTATTTTAGCAAACTCACACTCAGACAATTATCTTTATATTCATACACATATTTATGTTATTTTATTTCTATTTTTTGTAGGTATGTGTGAAATTTTAGTGTTTTTTAGACTCTTGTTGTTTTAAATCAAAAATTTATCGGCTTAAGCTTTAGTCTGTTGTGGTGTGATAAAAATACGTTAGTAATCAATTGCAACTCCAACAGCATAGACATTTCTCGTCTTTAAAGCGCGTCTAGTCGTTGTGTTTTTACTTAAATCCATAAACGTGTATATTTTTTTTAACCCCCCAAAAATTCAAACACCAAAAAAACGGAGGATACTCTATAAAGTGTATTAAATAAAAACATTAACACCAACAACAAATTTCTACGTTTCTACTAAAAAATGTATGTGTTTAATTGATTTGTACTGAAAAAAAGATAAATTATTTAAAAATATTTTTTTAAAAAATCTAACAGCAAGAAAACCTATGTTAAGAAAGAAAAAAAAAAAGAAAAACTATAATAAAACTGCTAAATCATTAAACATTACGTTTAATGTGTTAAAAGACAAATCATAAAAAAAGGAACAACAAATATGAAAAGCTTTAAAACATTTTGCAAAATTTATAATGGAATAAAATATTGCATTTACTATAATATTATTATGAAAATTTATTAAAAATTAAAAACAAATAAACAGTGGTGTGCGGTTTTTTGTCTTGAAGAAATAATGGGTATTGTGTAATTTTTTATACAAAATCGGCTTAAAATTTCAAATTTTCTTAATAAAAAATCTATAGCAGAAAATCAAAATTTGAACCGAGATAAAATGTTCCTGAGAAATTAAAGTTTAAGTTTCCTCAAGATTCTTATTTTCAGATTTTTCAATAAAAATCTGTGGCAATAAGGAAAAAGTACATAAGTTGGTATTTAAAATTGTATTTCCTATTCAAAACAGTAGTAAATTACCTTTTAAAATATCTTCTAAAGTTCTAAACAACTTTAAAAAAATCTAGCAAAAGTTTGTAAAATTAAAATATTCCTTTGTCCATTAAAAAAGTTCTTACCGAAAAATACATTCTAGAAAAGTTTATCGTTAAAATTATTTTATTAATATTGTAATCCTCATCAAGGCAAAACTTCCAAATTCAAATAGATTTTGAAAATTATCATATTATTAAAACTAAATTCTCAATTTTCTAGGAATTTTTTTCCAAAATTTCAGCTCAAAATTCCTTATTTTATTATAACTTATGAAAATCTCTATACAATAACAGATAATAAGCGAAATATTTTTTTAATATTCTAGAGAAAAGGAAATTCAAAATTTCTCAAGAATATTCTCGGAACTTGATTATTTAGTTCTTTAAAAACTCTTAAAATTTTTGTATTTATTGAGGAATGACACAATTTATAATTTTTGAACACTTTAACGTTGACATTTTAAGGAAATTTGAATTCTCAACTTTTTACGAATATTCCAAGAACTAAAAATTTCTAAAAACACTTGAACTTATTCCAACTATTGATAAGAAAATGAGAGTAAGATTTTTGGAATACATAAGTTCTCACATTTACAATATCTTTTTAAAGAAATTTGACTACAAAATTTATCGAGAATATTCCAAGAACTTTATTTGCAACATTTCTAAAAACACTTCAGCTTATTGGGTGCATTAATAATGTAATGATAAGTTTGGAGATTTTGGGATCCAATATAAGCACTGACTTTTTAAAGAAGATAAGATATAGATTATTTCAAGAATATTCCAAGAACTTAAACAAGATTTTTTTAAGCAACACTTATCGTGTTTCTATTTATCTATAGAGTAATGGCAAGTTTAACGATTTTTGCTTTATTTATTACTCTGACGCTATTAGCATTAAAGAATTTCAATTTCTAAGATTTTCGCGAATATTCCTAGAATTTCATATATTAGTTTTTTAATAAAATTTGCCAGTTTCTATAAATATATAGAGCAATGAGAAATTTGTAAATTTTTTAAGCTCATTAGCTCTCACTTTTAACATTTACTTTTGAAAAATAAAAGAATTTAAAATTCTAAGTTTTTCGCGAATATTCCTAGAACTTCATAAATTATTTTTTAATAAAATTTGCCAGTTTCTATAAACCGTTTTTGAACCATTCTCACTTAATTAGCATTGAATTCTTAAAAATGTGAACATTTTTTGTGAATATTCCAAAAACTTGTCTTTTAAATTTCTATATCTTCAGAGTAAAAACAAATTTAGAGATTTATATAACCTTTCAGAATCCATTCTAGTAGTAAGTTTTTTAAAATTCTAAATTCCGAAATGTTCGGCAATATTCCAAGAATTTAATTCAAATGTTTCTTTAGAATTATAACTTCAAAATTGGTGCTTTTAAAACTAAAATCACTTTTGACTTGAATAGATCAAAAGTCAACTTTACCACATTTATTTTACATTAATTAACTAATTAACGTTCTAATATTTAAATTGTTGCTAAAATTCGATTTACGTATTCGTAATCTTACTAATTAATATTTAAATGCAAAAAAAAAAAAAAAAAAAAAAAACTTCCATTAACACAAACATTGCCCTTTTGATAAAATGTTTCCCACTAAAACAATATTTATTGTTAAATCATTTAGAAAAATAAAAAAAAATAGTTGCAAATAAATATTGATTTAAACGAAGTTAAATAATTAGCATTTATAAATAATAGCAACCGCAAAAGTTAGTGGTCAATAACAAGATAACAAAAACACGTGTCTGTAGCGAAGGTTTTAGAGGAAATAGTTGATATTAGAATTACAATTTCAACGTTAGGCGTTTTAAAAGAACAGGTCGATAAAAAAAAACTGAACAAATTGAAATGGTTTTTGACATATATTTATACTTTAATGTTTTATAGAAAATATTTATATTGCTGGTTTAAATTTATTAAAATTTTGTTAATTTATTTATTGCTGATTTATTTAAATTTGTCCAAAAATTTCACAAAAACTACTTTATTTGAAAAATCGAAGAAAGTAACAATTTTAATTATTTCAAGAATATTCCAGGAACTTGTTTTTATTGACATAAAAATATAGCATACTTTAAGGCATTTAGAAAAATAATAATTGGTAGTATTTTAATATGTAAAAGGAATACTTTTTTAAATATAATAAAAATCTTATTAAAACAAAAGATTTAAGAAACAAACTTGAAATTTTTAGCAAATTTAAAGACCTTTACTAAAAGAGTTATTTGATTAAAGTCCTTTCATAATAAATCGGTTTTTTAGCTAAAAATATTAATTTGCTAAAAAATTAAAGTTTGTGTCTTAAATCTTTTGTTTTCGAAAACCACAAATTCACCTACATGCTTAAAAATGAAATGCTCTATAATTTCCCACACCTAAAATTAAAAAAAGTTATGAATATGTTAACATATGGCCAACATATTACGTGATTTATATTTTATATTCACAACACAAAAACACCAAAAAAAATCATGTTAAACCTCAAGTTAAAGGTGACTACTTCACTTGCCATTTCATCTGTGTCAGATGAGGTAATTTCTACTTCAGACCTATAAACCTAAAGCAAAACAAAAACCTTAAGTAAAAGTTAACCAAACAAAAGCATAAAATAAGTAATTAAAACAAATAAATTAAAAGTACTTTTTTTTACACCAAACAAACAATAAGAAACAAAAGCGCCCAAAAAAAAGCAATCACACACCACCCAACAAACTCGTTTAAAATGTAAGAAATACTCGTGATAAATGCAAAAAAAATACCAGAGAAAAAAAAACACGCAAATACTACTACCACACTTTACCATTTACAGATGACATAATATCTCTTTCTATTTGTATTGAAAGAAATTCAAAAGATAAAAAAAACCCACTGAAAACAAAAACGCCAACAAACCACAACCAACCAAACATTTAAAGTTTACAAACCAAATGATCTATTGGCAAATCTAAAGAAATGAATTTATGTCTGCAAGTCATATGTTGGCTGTTGACTGGAACTATCTGTCTGTTTGTCTGTCCGTCCGTCTGTCTTTACGTCCGTTTTGTGATGCCGGTATAAAAGAAAATAAACAAAAGCTAGAAATATGTTTGTACATGAGTTTTTAAACGCATGGTCGACAGCAAGACGTTTAAATACATAAGTTTTTTTTTTTTTCTTCTCAATATTCCTCAACAATGTTTCTTGGGTTTTTTTGTTTAATTTTTTATTTTGGTAATTCATGCTTGCATTATAACCGCCAGCTCTAACCACTTTGCAATGTTTTGTTATTGAAGTATTACCACATATTTATTGTTGCTCTTTTTGTTGTTGTTACTTTTTTTGGAGTTAAAATTTACACTTGTTGTCTTTCACACAGTTTTTGTTTTTTTTTTTTCTTAAGTTTTATTACCGTATCTTAAACCCAATTGGAAATTTGGTTTTGACTCTAATCTGGACTACAGTCTTGACTATAGTCTACACTATAGTCTTGACTAAGTCTGGACTATACTCTTGACTATAGTCTGGACTAAAGTCTTGACTATAGTCCGGACTACAGTCTTAACTATAATCTGCACTACAGTTTGTACTATAGTCTGAATTACATTCTGGACTCCAGTCTGGACTATAGTATTGACTATTGTCGGGACTACAGTCTTGACTATAGTCTGAACTATAGTCAAGTCTACAGTGCATACTACAGTCCAAACTATACTTAACTACATATAATCCAGACAATAGTTTTGACTATAATCGAGACGACAGTCTGGACTACAGTCTTGCCTATTGTCTGGACTACGGTTTTGGTTATAGTCTGAACTACAGTCTTGGATATAGTATGCAATACAGTCTTGACTATAGTCTGGAATATAGTATGGAATACAGTAGTCAAAACTGGACTACAATAGTCTGGACTACAATATTAACTATAGTCTGGACTACAGTATTGACTATAGTCTGGACTACAATATTAACTATAGTCTGGACTACAGTATTGGCTATAGTCTGGACTACAGTATTGACTATAGTCTAGACTACAGTCTTGCCTATTGTCTGGACTACGGTTTTGGTTATAGTCTGAACTAGAGTCTTGGATATAGTATACAATACAGTCTTGACTATAGTCTGGAATATAGTATGGAATACAGTATTGACGTTAGTCTGGACTACAATATTAACTATAGTCTGGACTACAGTATTGACTATAGTCTGGACTACAATATTAACTATAGTCTGGACTACAGTATTGGCTATAGTCTGGACTACAGTATTGACTATAGTCTAGACTACAGTCTTGCCTATTGTCTGGACTACGGTTTTGGTTATAGTCTGAACTACAGTCTTGGATATAGTATGCAATACAGTCTTGACTATAGTCTGGAATATAGTATGGAATACAGTATTGACGTTAGTCTGGACTACAATATTAACTATAATCTGGACTACAGTATTTGCTATAGTCTGGACTACAGTATTGACTATAGTCTGGACTACAGTCTTGACTATAGTCTGGACTACAGTCTTGACTATAGTCTAGACTACAGTGTTGACTATAGTCTAGACTACAGTGTTGACTATAGTCTGGACTACTGTCTTTACTATAGTATGACTACAGTCTTGACTATAGTCTGGACTACAGTCTTGACTATAGTCTAGACTACAGTGTTGACTATAGTCTAGACTACAGTGTTGACTATAGTCTAGACTACAGTGTTGACTATAGTCTGGACTACTGTCTTTACTATAGTATGACTACAGTCTTTACTAAAGTATAAACTACAGTCTTGACTATAGTCTGAACTACAGTCTTGACTATAGTCTGGACTACAGTCTTGACTATAGTCTGAACTACAGTCTTAATCATGTTATAGATAAGACAGGTTATAGATAAGACAATTTCATTTTCTTTTCCCATTTTCCCACTGGGTTTATTTTATTAAAAGATTAACAAAAAACGAATGCATTATTTAATAAAAACACAAAATCCCTCTGCTATTGAAGAAATCTAAAAAAAAAAACATGATTATTATTTGTTTATTAACAAATTATTGCTAATAATCGAAAACAACAACAACCAACCACTGCCATAAATAGACATAATAAAGAAATATAAAAGAATATAATAAGGTTAATAGATTTTATTGATTATAATCAAATGATTTGTTCAATTTCATGTACAAAATGTAAACGAAATAAACAAAATTTTCAAACAAAGACAACAGCAAACATCAGTAGATCTGCTGCAATCACAGCAAATCGATTGCAATAATAATAAGAAGCAAAAAAAACATGTATTTGAATAGAAATTTGTTTAGATAGAGAAACAATTATATTGTTTTTTTTTTTTATTATTGACATGCAGTTGAATTAAGAATTGTGTAATTTGTTCGAAAAAAATATGTTTATTTTTACAGCATTATAAATATAGAAATTATAAATTATTTAAATTTATTTTTGTTATTGTTAGTGCTGCTGCTGCTGTAAAGTTAACAATGTCAGAATTTAATAGCCAAATTATTATAGAAAAAAATGACTGGCCTTTAAAGGCAGCCAATAAAAACGATTGTAATTCAATAGGCACAATTTGGGTTTAAAAAGTATACAATAGTTTAGCCATATAAAAAAAAGTTTTTAAAATTTTTGTGTTAAATTCATTTTACAGGTGCTATTGAGTAAAATTTGCAAATATCAGAATGTGTTTTTTAGCTTCATGGGACATTTTTGAAATTTTTGGCACTTTTTAAAGAAAAGTACCAAACATCTTAAAAGTACCTACAGCGTTCTATAAGTCTGAAAGATATACAAAAGGTATCATATTACACTTCTTGTAAATTTTTTTTAATATGAAAAAGTTCCAAATTTCTGTAAAGTAATCTGGTTCTTTTTTATTTTTAAAAAGTACTAAAATACGTTTAATAAATTGTACTTTAGTGTAATAAGTTTATCTTTACTTCGCAACAAGTACTATTTTGCTATTGAAACAAAATCTGTATTTCTAGACTAAAAAAATTTGCCAAATATACCAAGAAATAAAATCTGTATTTCTAGACTAAAAAATTAATTACCCCCTTTTCCCAAAAAGTACCAAGATATTTATTCAAAAGAAAAAAAAAATTGATTTAACAACTTGGTACTCCCAAACAAATTAATTAATACATTAAGATTTCAAGGAGTTGGAAGGGTATGTGGTACTTTTTTCCATTAAAGGTACTTTTTTAGCATCTTTAAAATAAATGAAAAAATCCTTCATAAAAGTTATCTTGAGGAAATTATATTCAAAGAGAATATGTCATGATGGCACTTTTTTCTCAAAGTACCCAAAATGGGAACTTGAAAGAACTTTTTGATTACAAATATTAGGACTTAAAAGTACTTTATTTGTTTATTTATTGTATTAGTACCTTTTCTCTCCCCACCTTTAAGGAACCTAAAAATATAATAAAACTAGATACATATGTGGCCGAATGATTTACAAAGCAGAGATTTTAAGATACTTTTTCCCCTAAGGTACTAAATATGGGGACTTAATAGTACTTTTTAATAATAATTAAATTAAAAACTAGGAATTTGCTTAAAAGATTTAAAAGAACACAAACAAGAAAACTGAAAAAGTACTTTATTTATTACCCTTAACAGAGTTAAAATGTACTATTACTTTTATTTATTACCCTTAACAGTACTTTTCATTGATAAAACTGGTGAAAGAAAATGTCGTTTACAACTTAAAATCGCTGTCACAACGATAATAAAAAGAAAGACTTTAGAACGGCGCTTACAGACAATTTGCCAAAAACCACGAGCCTGCGTAATGAATCATTAGACCCCACACCGTTTCCAATAGCAAAGATATGACGCATAATTTAACACAAAAATTTTAAAGCAAAAAGACCTTAATAGAAGCACGTACGAAACATTTAAATAATAAAAATATACAATAAATGAAAAAAATATAAATATTTGCATAAAAAATTAATTATATTAAATATTACAAGCAAAGACACATGCACACAAACGCCCCAAATACATGCACTAATACTAAGAATAATTTTTGATTACCAATAAGTGTAAGTATGTGTTTGTGCATATATTATGCGTCTATTGACTTTAAAAATTAACATAATTTAGTGATTGCCATGAAATTTTGGTAAAACATAAAGAAAATACATACAACAAAAAAAACTGATGCACAACTTAAAAAAGAAAAATAAAACTTAAGAGGCGACCTTGGCCGATAATTTGTTGTTAAAGATAAATTATATATTTAAATGCAAGAGATTAAAATAATAAAGCTGTACAAAAATCATCTTAAACAAATTGAATAATATTTAAATATTTAACAATATACCAAAAAAATTAATGAAAATAAAATGACAAACAGAAAAAATAACTAAGAGCAAGGTCATTTGAAATGTTTTTATTAAGTTAAACATGTGTAGAGAGACCACAAAAAAATGCCAAGTATTTGTTAATGATAAAGAAAAAATTTGAATACCAATAAAAAAAATTCTTTAAAATATTCGATGTTAAGTCTAAAGGTCCATGAGCAAAGTTTTTTTTAATGATTATGGTTTAAAGGTTTTCTTGCTATAAAAAAATTTAAATAAACGGAAGTTTTTCTATTTATTTAATCAGTATTCTGAAAAAACAAATTTTTAATGAATATTTTTTATTTATCTTTATTTTATTTACAGTTTAGTTTAGTCAACGTTTTGGTTTATTGTAAAAAAACCTCATAAAAGTTGTTGGTTTATAAAACAGTTTTGTATAAAACAGTTTTATATATATTTTTTTAAAGAAATACCCCTCTCCAAATATCCAAAACACACACACTAACACAGCCAAAATGAGGCCATATTTAATAACATTTGCCTGTCTCTGCTCTGCCCTCGCTTTTGTAACAGCCGTACCAGTGCCTGCCTCCAATCAGGAACTAGATGTGCTACAGATTCCACTATCAAATGGAAAGGTAAGTTTTTCTTAAACAAACAAACAAACTATTATTAAATTAAAAGAAAATTTAAAAAAAAATTGCTAGATTTATAAAAAAAAAAATTAAAATTCAAACTTTAAACTTGTATTTTTACTTTGTTTGAAAGTATTTCAAATATTTACAACAAACAATAAACCGACATGAGGATGTTATTGAAGTTAATGAGTTGTATAAATATTTAGTTAAAACAAATAGTAATAAAAAAAATAAATTTTGCATAAAGTTGTTGAAAAACAACAACAACAACAAAATCAATTAATGTTTAAACTTTCATGTGGTAAATAAACTAAAACAAAAGTTTTTTTTTCCAAATGACCTCGGCAAGGTTAGTAAACTTTCAAATTTACAGCAACCAAAGAAAAACTGAAAAGTCCTTCAACTGTTACAATACGTTTCTAAAACCACACACACACATACACACTCTATTTACTTAACAAAAATCGTATGAATCATTTAAATTTCAACTTCCTTTTACAAAATGCAACTGGAAATATTTATTCAACGGTATTCAGGTCTTTGGGTTTGCATGGTTAATCAAAAAAAAAAAAACACAGTTAAACTAGCAATAACAATAGCAACAACTAAATATAATAATAAACAAACCAGTTCCTGGCTTAAAACACTCTTACCCATACCAAGGAAGTTTTTTTTTCGAAAAAAACAAGACTTTTTTTTAAAAAATACACAAAAATATGTTAAAGAAAAAAACTTTTAAAAAAAGCTAAAAATTAAAAGAGAGAGAAAAATTGAAAGTAATTTTCCATTAATATAAATAAGTATTGCTGCACACAACAACAAAGGAAAAATAACAATAACAACAATAGCTATGAAAAAGCTTTTTTTCAAGATATTAGTAACTCTAGTAGTATTTGTTCGAATGTTATAGGTTTTTTCCACTATTTTTTTGTTTTAAACAAAAATACACCAAAATTTTAGGCAGTTCAATTTACAGCAAAAAAAAATTGTTACAAATATTATTGAATTTTGTATTTATTTACATTTAAAACGAGAAATAAAACCGGCTTGTAGACTTAATTGTAAATGTACAAAGAGCAGTGGTCGGCCTTTATAGTTAACAGAGGCCGAGAACGATCCGTTGCTAATATGAACTTAATACGAATGTCTTCGACATTTGTTTATACAACAGGGATAAGTTTGCTATTATCAATCATGTGTGATGGTTTTTGAAACATGTATGCCTCAAGATCTCTTTATGTTGATCACTGATTTAAGGACTGATATTATTAAATTTCATATGTTGCTACGATCTTTAGTTGAAAGTAAATAGTTACACTGAGTTTCTAAATAAATCTTTAACCAGTAGCGCCCCTTAAAACTATTTCAGGTTTAGTGACTAGAACGGCTTGGACCCATCGGTTGTCACGTTCTACAGCCGTCCATAAACTAACATTAAGAAATCTACTTCCATTACAATTTCCCGCAAGAAAACCGATTCCAATACCCTAAAATTCCTAATTCTCCCGATTATAAGATTTCTATGTGACCCTTAGTAAGACTATCCACATCTTAAATTACACATTTTTAAGACGATCCAGGTCTTTGTATTTAAAGAGGTTTATACCAGCCAGTGATCATACTTTCATTGGCATGTTCGGAAACCCACAAAATTCCGATGCAATTGTACAGGCATTTCGATCTCTATAAATAGAAGTTTATAGCCTTCATCAGAGACAGTTTTCGAGAGAGATAATTTGAAAAACATTCCAACAAATGTCCACCCAATTGAACATTTTAAGTTTGGAACCTTGATATACATATATATGTAATTTAGTCTTGACCGGCTCAGCTTCATCAAAGACAATTTTCAAGATTATATTCGCATTTATATTTTCGAAAATTAGAAAAAGGTGTGGAGCTTTAATTGATGTAAATTCTACTTGAACCGAGTTAAGTTTATCACAGATAATTTTTCGAGATTATGCTCGCATCTGTGTCCTCGAATGATTTCGTTCAGTCATCTCTTAAGTATATTCTATTTATGAAATCTAGAATGAGACTTCATGAAGTCTAAGGACAAGTTTTCTTTATTCACTTCCAATAGAAAGTACCACTTTAATAGATGCCTAAATGTATGCTACACTTTTGTTCCCAATTCAAAGAACAAAATTCTTGGAATATTCTTGAAAATATTAACATAGAAATATTTTATTGTTTTTGAACTGCTAACAATTCAGTTTATACCAAACTATAGGAAGTCGTGCATTTCACTTCAATTAATTGCCTAAAGATCCAAATGAAATCTACAGACAAAAGAAATTTCTTCAAAATTCCTTAGAGGCAAGGAATCAGCGTCCAAAAATAATATTTTTCATGACAAGTCTGTGTTAAATGCTTATTTTGTTTCAGTTCTATAATACTTCTTTAAAATAGATTTTTTCATTCAGATCTTGTAAACTTTAAATAGGTTTAACCCAGTTTAAGTGAACTCAGTCCTAACACAAACTTTTATAGTATATTATAATTATCTTATAGTTAATTTTACCCAAAAAAAAAATTTAACGCCTTTGTTGCTGATTTTTTTTTCTATAGTTTTTAAACTGAAAATCGTGTCTCTAATGTTTTTCTAGCTAAAATTATATCTACTAGTTTGCTATAATACTTTTAACATTAATGTATCTGTTTGTTGCTGACACGTTCCGCTGTCATTATTTAATTACAACATAGATATACATTATGTTATTAGTATATGTGTGCGCCGGTATTCACTGGAGCCCCAAAAACCACCAGTGGAGACGCCAATCTGTCAGTTGTTTAATTGCTACTCATGTTGTTTTCATATTCTTAAAACAATTGCTGTTGCTATACAAATATCTTCTATTTAGCAGTAGTACTATTTGTATTAAAACTCCACTAATCTCTTTATTGTTTAACATTATTATTTATTTGTTAAACAATTTATTAAAGTGTCTAACCGAAAAAAATGAAAAGTGGTTTAATAGAAAACTTTTTTAAAAATCTAAAATCGTACGTTGAGAAGTTTTTGCAATAATTTTCGTTTTTAATGATCAATAGTGTTATTAGGACTTTAATATTTTCAAGAATATTCCAAGAATGTCTTATAAACTATAAAAAAGTATAGCATACTTTTGGGTATATATAAAAACAACAGCAGAAATTTTGAAATAAGAATTATTTTGTTCAAAATTTAAGTTATAAGAATATAGACTTAGACTATTTACGAATCTATTTTCTTGTCCCTTAAATTATGCTGTTTGTAACAGCCCAAACTTATGCTTTCCTTTTTGTTTATAAATTAAGGCACAATAAAACAGATTCAGGAATATTCCTAGAATCTATTTTCTTGATCTTTGAAATAAGAACAAAATTAATGCATTTATTGCAGTTTTTCTTAATTCCTAAAAGTATTCTACTCTTTTGTTCATAATTTAAAGGAAGGCAATAGATTCTTGGAATATTCTTGTAAATATTTACATGGAGAATTTTTAGTAATTTTTTTCAAGATTTTTGATTTCAACATTTCTATTACCACCTTGAAAGGAAGCAATCAGGTTAACATTATCAAAATATACCAACATTAATTTATCTCTTAAACGTGTTTCCAATTGCTTAAACAACAATTTATTATTTCTTCATTGCCGTTATTACAAAATATTACTTTACTTATTTGACTTTTAGTGACATATCCATCAAAATTTATTAACCCATTACACTAGTTGCCTTCCTAACCTATATTTATGAAAGCTTTTCCTGTATTTATGAGACAGTTTTATTTAAATTAAAATCAACTACATTGTTACTATGGCAAACAATTAAAACAAAGATAAAAAATTGCTTACATTGATTACAACTAGTTTTAAAAAAACACAAATCAACTTTTGACCAATTCACACAATAACTTAAAGACCCATATATTTCTGTAAAACCATCTGAAAACTCCATGCAACATTCACTGCAACAAGAAAAACTAGTCGTTTGTTGTTAAGCTGCAGTTGTAGTAGATGGATGAAGCTAAAACCTAGAGTTAATAATCCTAGACACATAATTTCAGTTTTAACAAGTAATAATAATAATTTCAGTTCAAACACACTCATTTGGCAAAAAAGATTACAAAATACATGAGACCAGGCTTAAAATCATAAAAGTTTGTAACGAAATAGGCATAAATTTGCAATGTTTAATGTCTTACATTATAACAAAAGAGTTCAATTGTCATTTTTAATTATTTTTTTTTTTTTTTTTAATTTTGTTTTAATTATTTCAAAAAACATGGGAATTTCCTATAGTAGAGCAACAGCAGAATTATAATCTGTAACAAATCTTGGAATATTAATGAAAGCCTAGACAAAACCTGAGAATTTTTTATGATGAAGTAATTAACAACAGCCACCGCCCTCTCTTGTATTTGAAAAAAGTAAATATATTTATTTATGCAAGAATATTATATAATGACTAAAGCTTGATTTTAGAACTCGAGTTATAACAAGGCTGAAAATAAACTTAAAAGTTTCTTATTGAACTAGTTTTGATTTTATGGTCGATAAAATAAGTTATATGAAGATTGAATACTAAAACCCAACAAACATTTTATAGCACAAATTGAAAACAATTTCTTATCTCAGTCTTAAATCAAGTGTCAATTTCAATGTCTTTCTCTAAAAATATATTTTTTGTTGATTCCTAAAAATATACTACATTTATAGTCCGATTTAATTTTTTCAAGAATATTTCAAGAATCTGTTAAATTTTCCTTAAGTTATTCAAATCTTCAATGCTTTTTGGAATTCTTATCTACAGACTTTCTGCTTTATTCTATAAATGCCCGAAATTATGCTACTCTTTTCTTCTTAATTCAAGATACAAGAAAATAGATTCTTGGAATATTCGCGAAAAAAATAAAATACAAATTAAAAAATATCGAACTTTTAGTTTACTGGTTATTTATGGGCCTATATAGTGATAATACAGTGCAGATAGCGATTCTTTCAAATTTTCAT